AAAGGAGGTGGACCGTGATGGTTCACAGGTCCCTGGTGCTCCAGAGGGCTTCTTCTCTCGACAACGTGGTGAGGCTGTTCGCCATGCCGGAGGCTTGATCGTGGCAGGTTTCCCTCGTGGCGTCCGACGACGAGAAGCTCCACGAACTCAAGTGGGCGGCCAGAGAGACGAATCCAAAGCGTGCGAGCTCCAGGTGGCCCACTGGGGTCAAAGTAGGCCTCGACGTCGATGATGCGTTCGTGCAGTCTCTCTCGCAGTGGGAGCTCGACAACTGGAAGGAGTACCAGCACAACAGCGGCATGACGGGGCACTTGCTGGCCTTCCTCCTCCACCAGAACCCCAGCAAGCACTCTCGCAAGAGCAATCCGAACACGCTGTGTACCCTCATCAGGAACCCTGGTCTTCTCATGTCCACGCCCCGCCGGAGATAGTTCACCGCGAGCGAGTGCTTGAACGCGCAGGGCTTCCCGACCGACGACGTCTTGAGGATCATCGATGATGGTGCCATGGTGCGTGGGCGCCGGTGCTGCTCCTTCAACCGCGCTCGCTTGGCCAGGCAGAGTCATCACGTGAAGGAGCAGGCTGGCAATTCGATGCCGCTGTCTGTCATTGGGGTGATGTTTACATACGTTTTTGGGTATCACACCCACTTGGCCGCTTGAACGGTTAGGCAGTGCTTGGACTCAGCCGCTCCAGCGAGCAGCGACGAGTCGCATGGGCATTTCAATGTCTCGATTCTGGGATCCCGGAGCTCAATGGCGAGGCTGTCCCTGGGCAGTTCACCGGATCAGCCAGCAGCAGCGCATCTTTTCAAGCTCAGGCCTCTCTCGGGCATTTGAAGAATGTCCGTCTGTCCGTCTGACTTGGCGATCTGTGCGGGGAAGGTTGTGGGCATCGAGGAGAAGTGGAAGATGGGGTCGCTGATCACATATTGAGGGTTTCAACTCGTTCGCTTTGGATCTGAGGCTAATCGAAAACACTGCTGCTAAGGTCCTTGCCAAGTTTTCCGATGATTTTGGACCTGCGTGCAAGACGCGGGATTTGCTGCGCGAGAAGCTGCTCCCGAGGGAGCTAAGTTTTCCAATGGCCGTCCAGCGTATGTTCCAGTCCAGTGCCAGACCCATTGATATGCCGAGGCTGTCACCGATTGGCACACGCGACTTCGTTGTTCGCCAGACATTACAGAGGGGTGAGATGTGCAATGCGTCAGGTCATTACATTGTACGAGCGCGCGATCACCACGCATGCTCCCCCTGGTCCTGCTGCTCCTTCTCCTCCTTCCTATCCCCCTCCCTCCAGGCTAATCTTGGGAACGTCTCGGAGGCCGAGCCCTTCAAGATCTCTGGGGCCTCAGGGGCCCTCAGGGGACTTCTTGGAGCTCCATGGGGCCCTGGGATCTCGGGCTGGGCTAATTGGATAAAGCTCGTGTCGAAGGCCCCGCAGCTTGAACTCGATAGAGGATCACGGGAGTTAGAAATTGGACGAGAAGGGCAACATGGGGACCCTAAGGACGTAAGGGCCCTAAGGAAATGAAAGGGTCCTAAGGGCACTGAAGAAGGCACGGAGAGGGCCCTGAGGACCGTAAGAAAAGGAGCGGGCCCTCTTAAAGAAGGGACGGGAATAACCATGATGAGCCTAAACACCGTGAGAAAAAAATCGCAAGGACCCCATGGAACATACGGAACGGACCCTAAGGGCCCAAAGGAAGGCACGGAAAGGACCCTAAAGGCCCTAAGGACCATAAGGGAAGTGAATGATTCTAAGGACCCTAAGGAAGGTTCGGACATGACCCTAAGGCCCTAAGGAGCCGAAGGACCCCAATGACCTTAGCCATTTTGGCTCCAGCATCGTGCGTTCAGCTCAGCATAGCCTTTCGTCCTGACTCTCACCTGCAACATGCTTCGAACCAGCTTCAGCAGAGACCGCAGGCATGACGGGACAATCAAAAGTGCCAAAGAAACATCTGAACGACCCTCAGTCGCCGCCATCTGCCAAGCGGCAGCGCATCTCTGGCAAGCGCTCCGATGACGAGAAGCATTACGATGCTCTCTACGGGCCTCGTGATAACATTCGGTTGCGTTTCCCTGGGCTCTCTGGATTGCGGCTCTTGAACAAGGTGAACCTTTGGTATCGCGTGAGGAAAGACACAGTGTTACCGTTCTTCCACACATTGGACAAGTCAAAGCAGTTGGTTATGCTCGAGGACAGTTATCGTGATCAAGAAGCTGTATAGTAATATTATACATTGAAAGTGCCCAGCTTGGGAAACGTTCCAGGAGTTCGTGGAGAACCGTGGGCGATCCTGAGTCCAGATGGAGATGCAGAATCAGATGGCACCTTACCTTAGTGCATGCTCTCCTTCGGCACGCTCACGCGTGCAATATACAACGCAATAGAGAGGGAGCCAGAGAACGAGCAGGTGATTGCCACTGTACAACAGGGTTTGCGCACAGCGCAAGTCTACAGCGCCCGCGCCCCCAAGGACGCGCGCGAGTTCCTGATAAACTTCCACAACGAGTTCCACAAGGGCAGCGGCTACACCTTGATCCAGTATTACAGCTTCACGGACACGAGCGTGGCGCAATGGAAAGCGCGCGCACTCCAAGGGGCTGGACGTATCAAACCAGTCGGATAGGCAGAAGTGGTTACAGGAGAACTACCCGGACAAATACCCGAGCCCCAACGTGTTCAACGAGGCGAAAGCCGGCCTCAACGCTCTCGGGCGCCTCAAGATGAGACAAGCGTTCATGGCGCTGTTCGGATCGGTCTGTGACTTTCCTCAGATGAAGAACGAGTTCGGCGTGATGGCAGTGCACAAGATTGTTGTTATCCTGGAGACCAAGTACAAGGGCACGATGGACGAGTCCACGCTGAGGACCGTCGGGGCGGAGATGGCGAAGTTCATGATCCCGACGGTGACGCGCCCGAACTTCGACAGCAAAGACGACTCCGCCAACAAGGTGGTTTCCAAGAACAAGGCGTTTCTCCACACGTTCGTCAGCTCTCGGGAGGCGCCCTGGATCCTCAACATTCGCGAGCTCGTGGAGGAGGGACCAGGGATCGAATGTTTCATAGGCGCAGTCTGCCGACCTGCTGACCCATTCAAGAGGGCGGAACTCAGGAGGACGAGTGGGAAGTGAGGAGGGGAGTACGGAGGAGTGAGGAGGCGGGATGGAGGGGCCCTGATGGATGGACCCTGAGGCTCCTGAGGGACCCCGAGGAGCCTGAGGAGGGACACTGTCGCGTTTAGCAATGTGGGGGACCCCGGGACCCCAGGAGAAGCTCAAATTTTTGACTACGAAGATGGAGGGCTCCACCACCCAGAGAAAGCTGAAAACAACCTCAAGAATACGCCGAAGAAGCTCAAGGCCAACGGCGCCATCACCACTGACGCCGTTGCCAACCTCCTGCTCCTCAATCTCTTCAGACCTCCTCCTATCACCTCTCACCTCCCACACGTTCTCCAGGCTTCTTCTCCTCCTCAGCCTCCGAGGTCCTCTCCTCGTCCTCGGCTCCTCCTCCTCCGAGGTCCTTTCCTCCTCCTTGGCTCTCCCTCCTCTTCCTCCTCCTCCTCCGAGGCCCTCTCCTCGTCGTCGGCTTCTCCTCCTCCGAGGTCCTCTCCTCCTCCTTGGCTCTTCCTCCTCATCCGAGGCCGTCTTGTTTCGTGTCTCGGCTGCGTCGCCCGCCCATCGGGTCGGCCAGCCCGGGCCAAGGAGCCCGCTGAACTGATCATCAAGATTGGGCCCGCCGACGCGGGGAGCAAAACAAAGTGCAAGATTCGGGGGAAGACCTGGCTGGACGATGTCATCGCCTGCTTGAGCTGGGTCCGCTCGCAGCTTCCAGCGGAGCCGCCAGAAACAGATTGGACACAGTGCAAAGGATTTGCGATCTCGATGGCCCTCGAGTTCTGTTTCTGCGGCAAGCTGACGATCGGAAGTGAGACTTTCTGCCGGTGGTCCCTGCTGCGGCCAAAGCTGCAGGACAGCGTCGAGCAGATCATGTCTACGAAGTGCTCGTCATCATCTTCAGATGCTGCATCGCATACTCAGGATAGCCTCATGGACGCCCTGACCGGCACGCCGCCGCCCTCTGACACTTCGCCTTCCCCGTGCAAGAGCCCCGTTGACGACGGGACGGAGACCGAGGAGTCGCGTGTCAAACTTTTCGTGAACGATGAGGGCCGGCTGCAAACGATCCGTGCGTTCGTTGATGGTGAGGTACACGTGGACAAGCCGCTCCGAACGCAGGCGCCCCTGTTTCAACTTCGGAGCTCTGTCCTGAATGAGCTGATGACGCTGAAGAGTTCAGAGCAGTTCGCCACAAAATTCGCCACTGCTGTGACTGCGAAGCTCGAGGAGGTTTTCCCTGGCGACTGGTGGCTGTGCATGGCCGCTCTCGTGGACTGCGTCGATTCTGGTGAGCTCCCAGAGTGGATTAATAACGTGATGAAATCCGGCCAGCATTTTACATTACCTGATGCTTCGGGAGAACTACATCGTGGAGACCCTCAAGGACATGATCACTGATGACGACATCTCGATTCCGGATGGGCACAAGTCGGCTCTGTCGAAGCTGGCCAAGGCCATCGAGCGCCCAGATCCATCCAAGAGCGGCGTGCAAGACGTCTTCAGCACCATGAGCAGGACCTCAGCGCGCATGCAGGTCACGGGGGGGATGCACAGCCACCTTGGTTTCCTTGCTGCGCGCTGGCCTCTCCGAGGACAGCGCGCCCGACGAGCTGGGCAACTTCAAGGCGCATATGCTGAAGGATCTCGGCGCGACCGCGACCACTGGCGAGGGGCGATGATGGGAAGCAAATCGGATGCTGGACATTGGGGCTGGCGTTCAGAGCAGGCGGGATTATTTTTCTAGTCTTGCCGTCTTTGAGCGCCAGACGCCAAGTCTGGTCTGTTTTGCGGCCCGCTCAGGACCTTGCGAACGCAGATGGCGCGCAAGGCACTGGCGCTGGGCAGGAGGTCCACGTGAACCCATGGGTCGTCATGGCCGACGTCGTGTCGTTCAACGACTACGAGAAGCTCGACCTGATCAGTAAGAAGCCGAACTCTTGGACGCCGCTCGCAGACCCAGACCCCGTCGCACTCTTCATTGAGACCTTGCCCGGCCACACCGTGAGCCTGCGCGACGAGAAGACGAGGAACCAATTCAACTTGGACTGGGTCTTCCGGCTCATGAGTTTCATCGAGTTCAAGCTCGAGGAGGAGCGCGCCGACATCAAGGAGCAGTCGGCCAACGTCGTCATCAATACGTCCGAGAGGAAGGTTGTGCCCGCCGACTCTAGCACCACGCCGGACGCAGCCAAGGCGAAGCCAAGGCTTCGGCTAGGCCCGCCGACGCCGCCGACGCTGCATCCAACGTGGCCTGCGCCTTGGAGAAACACCGCTTCCAGGACTGCAAGCTTCCGTTCTCAGGCAAGATTTCCTGACGCAGGACTCTTTTATGCACGCAGATTGGGAAGCTGATCGTCACTACTGATGAGCTCGACGAGTCGAAGTTGGCGAACTGCGAAGGCACGGAGATTGATGTCACGCCGAACGTCTGCACTTTCGTCGTGCCTATCTACGCGAGCGGCCATGGATGCAATAACATATTGGGCCAACGTGTCGTTCCAGCCCGGCGCGTGAAGCCGAAAGACGACAACTACACCATGGACATCGCGCCGACGAAGGTGAAGGTGGATATTCCCGAGAGCCTCCGTCTCGGACCTACGGCGGCGAAGCACATCGATGTGTCCGTCAGTCTTCTTCGCGGCCTGCCCGAGAAGGACCTGCCCCAGGGGCAGCTCACGCCGCAGGGCATCCTGCTGACCCGCCCCAGCTTCGCCGACGAGGTTCTGAAGTCGGAGAAGAAGTCGAACGCCAAGGCCATCGAGAAGCTGACCGATGAATTCTTGAGCTTCATGGGGGTCGGGGCCGCAGCGGACCAGATGAACCGCAAGTCGAAGGCGAGTGCTGCGAAGGCAGCGCGCGGCTCCGGCGATGCCAGTGGCGATGAGGAGGATGAGGGCGGGGAAGTCGAGAGCTCCGCAGCAGCAAAGACTGCAGTCAAGAATCTCACGCGCTAGTGCGCACGTTTTTTTTGCCGTTTTCGTTTGCTTATCGAGTTGAAATGTGTTTGGCATTTTGCCCGCCTTCTCGGCCTGCCACTGGCCTGACACTGAAGGGTCCGAGGATCCAAAGGAAAGGGGCGAGGAGGAGAAGGAGTCAAGGAGGAAAGAGGGGCCAAGGAGGTAAGGAGGATTTTTGAAGGACCCGTGCTCTTGCTCTCGGGCTCGAGCGGCCGAGTCTGGGACCGAGGGATGGCGCGTTCTGCGCACATGTATGGCCGAGGCCAGACAATTTTGTTGGGTTTGCTGCTCCTGTGGTTTATGAGTTCGTTTCGTGGCCAGTCCTTTGACATGCTCGGGGAGCCTAATCTGGGGATTGTAGTGCTTCCTGGGCCGACGGGCTCCATCCCGTCGTCAGCAGCAGCAGCTTGAGTACTCCGCCGAGGCAAGGGTGCTCGATCCATGTCTTTCTGTTTCGTGTCCGTGCCTCTCTGGGCGCACCGGCGGTGCACCGGGGTGCATGCAATGCAATCGTTTGCTTCAGTGCCGCTGGTGCGAGTGCGCAGGGCCCATAACGTTTCAGCCCGCATGGGCGCGTTGATTGCGTTTACTGAGCCGTTTACTGGCATTTTGTTCTCGGGGCAATCTCGGGAATGATGAAAGAAAAAAGAAAAACAAGCACCTCCAGGTCTCCAGAGCCCTGCCGGGCAATGCCGCCAATTCCCATCCTCCCTCCCTCGCCTTCCCTCTCTCCTCGTCCTCCCTTCTCTCTTCCTCTCGGCTCTTCGCTCCTTCTCCTCCTCCTCATCTTTTCCTCCTTCTCCTCACTCTCCTCCCCTCCCCTTCCTCCCCCTCCTCAGCCCTCCTCATCCTTCGTGCGGGCACATCCACAGGGTCCCGTGCCTAGGAAGCTTGCTCCCACATGAGGCTCCGTCCTTCATGTTTCACGGATGTTCCTATCGATTGGTTTCGAATCCTTCCCAGCAGCGGTTCCGCTCGAGACTTCCTCGCAACTTAGCACCACAGAAGCGTCCCAGGGGCCGTTTCGCCTGAGACTTGGAGGGAGGGCCATAGAGGGGCCCTGAAGGCTCTGGAAGCTATTTTTGGAAACTCCTGGGGGGCTCCCGCCGCGCCGTTCGCAAGAAGCGGAATCACTTGAGCAATGGAAATGAGCATACACAGACGACGACGGCCCCGACTACGTTTACGTCATGGAGGACGACCTGCGGGAGGTGCATGGCGAGGCCGACGTGACCACAACCGTGGCGTCGCACCAGGCCGCGATACAGTCGCTGAAACCGGAGAATAGTAAGCGCGGTTTCTACAAGAAGGGCGGCAAGGTCGGCCAGGGCGGCAACGGCGATGGTGCAGCCAAGGACGGCTTCCCGCCGCCTCCAGTGGTCCGGCTCGGAGCCGGAATTCGCTACAACGACGGCTAACAGCGCGAGGTGAGAGCGCATTTCGGGGTGATCACATTGCGGACCAAACGCGCTCGATGTCGTCACGTAGGCCATTGGGCCAAGGAGCGCACGAACCCGCCAGGCGCACGTGGTGCTGCAGCCTCCTCGTCCTGCGCGCGCCCGGAGGCTGGCATCTCCGTGGGCGAAACGACGGTCGCCGAGGATACCACCCCAGCCGGACCCTGAAATTACGTTGAACAGGCATCATCATCATCGACGGCTGTCCAGGTTGCAGGAGGTCTTGGAAAGAATCTTCGGGAACTGCGACCCTATCCAGGGAAACTCCTGGTGGTATTTCTAGCTTTTGGGGGCAGGGCGAGGCCATCCGCCGAGTGCATTTCCAGGGCGCAGGGGCTTTTTGGACGAGGACACGAATGCGAGCGGCAACAAAGAGACATCTTAATCTTGACGTGGGCTGGCCGTGGGGCGGGGAAGCGTTGGTGGGTGCGCTGAGGCCTGGTTGGGCCCGACTGGTATGACGGCGTTGCGACAGCCGGGGGGTGCTTTACGTGTAAATCTTGGCATCGCTCGGACGTGTGCATTTTTTTCGGCGAGGACCATCGAGGACCATCGTGGACCATCGAACAAAACAAACACGCACGAAACCGAAACATGCAAGGGAAATGGACGTCCGAGCGACGGCAAGAAATGGGTAGCGGGTGCAATTTATTGATCAACCAGCCCGGGCCCAATTCGTCCGGAGGGCGAGCGAAAACCCGTGGCCTCCTGAATCTCACCGCGGTGGAAGGGGACGTCCCGATGCTGTTCCCGAGACTTTCCAGAAACTTCGGTTCCTGGTATATCTAAATGAGCTGAACTTTGGTCCGAGGCGGGAAGGGTCAGTTTCCGGAGCTTCGGCAGGCGGTGGATATGGACATATTCGGGCCCCCGGGGGCCGAAATATATCCACACCCGCCGCCCGTTGGGGCACCAGGACGCCGGTTGCCAAGCGGTGGATATGGATAAATCCCTGCCTCGCATTGGGGGTCCGACAGCAGATATCCCCATTGGAGTGGTGAACACTGGACACGTGGCGGTATCGTTTGTAGAGTTCGGCCCCGAAGGGTGGACAGCGCCTCTTCGGGGACCGCGGATTCAGGACCGAGGATGTCTGCTGGTGGCCGTTGGAATCAAGGCGCGTCCAGCGCAACCGCTCACGAGGCCACTGTTCTCAACGGTTCCACATTCCCGCGGATTGCAAGCATATTGGGACCGAATTCGGACACCAGCGCGGCACGCGTGGGTGCGTATCACGTTGGCGTTGGTGCTTTCGGCGTTTGTGCGACCGCTTGTGGAGCCATTCTATGCGACCCACCCGGGGATACGCCACGGGTGTGAGAGCAGCGAGGAGGAGAGAGATAGACACGGAGATCTACCCGGGTCTTGTGCGGTCGTGTCAGCAAGGGCGGCCGCAGGCAGTTTCGTCGGCAGTTGGGGCGCCCTTGGCGGCGAGGCCAGAGACGGAGACGGGCAGCTAAACGGGACGCGTGTTTTTCCCAGAGTGGAGTGCAATCTGGTGCCGGCACGAGATGGAAAGAGAGCGGATTGTTTCAAGAGTGGAGGAATGAGGAAAAGGAGGAGGAGGAGGACGAGGACGAGGACGAGGAGACGGTGGGGGAGGGGGGGGCCGAGGAGGAATGATTTCGAAATGGCCCCAAGGGGGCCTTCAATGGGAGTCCCATGCCAATATGTGTTGCAACATGTTTGCACGCGGTAGTTTCTTTTGCTCGTTACGATGGGATCCGTTACTGTCGCTTCGGCCATCAAATTTGCAGTGGGCGCGCTGTTCTCTCTGCAGACTTCCTCATCCTCTCTGCGGCATGCAAGTCTGCAGTACTTGGCATTTGCATGTGGTGCAGTTCGTCCGAGCGCAAACGGCACATCGGCCGATACGCACACGACCCGTGCAAGCCATTGGATGTGTGCGAGCAGTTCAGCCGGTACATTCGGGGAAGCAACAGGGGAGGCTTGTCTGGCGCTTGATGGCCTCCGCGGCTATTTTTCGAAGGCGGGGGCAGAACAGGGGGGTTCTGCGGTGATGTTTGCAATGCGTGTTTTTACCCCATGTTGTCGAATTGGGCGCTGGCGCGCACTGATTGTCCGGATGGTTGGGCCACACGCGTGAAAAGTCATGACACCTCGGACATCTACCTATTTCACGTGCGCGGGTGTTGCAGTGCATGCTGGGGCCTCACATTCACGTTGGTTGGTTGATATAATTTGTTCGTACTGGGATGCCGCTTGCATCGGTCCAGCGATGGTAATTGGGAGAGTCTGGTGCAAGTCATTTGCCAGGCGAGCCCGTGATCGGCGGCGAGCCCAGGGGTGAAGCGAAAAGGAGCGGGCTGTTTCAAAAGGCTCGGAAGGCCTTCCATTATCTGACAGCTTTTCTCTCAAGGGAGACGCGTTTTCAGGAGGCGCGAGGTTTTCTGAGAAACCCTGCCGCCTTTGAGAAGGCCTGTCACCTCTGACTCCCCCCCCCAGGCGCGTCACCGACATGAGTTTGCGTGTGTTGCTGGGGACGGGGTAGGATGAGGAGGAGCAACACCAGATGGATGATGGGTCGTGGTGGAAGGAAGTCTCTGATGTTCTGGAAACGGACGAGTTCGCATGCCCCTCGATGCATCCGGCCCGACGGGCGAGAACGCGGCATCTGCCTGAGACGGTTGCCTTCTACATTCGTTCCCAACCTGACCTTCCTCCAGAGTCCTTCCTCCTGTTCCTTGACTCGCGCCCGCGTGTAATCAAGAAGTTTCACGGGGCTGTCTACGGCAGCTGTGGTTGTTATGGACTTCGCTTTGACTCCTCCTGGTTGTCCCATCCCCCTGCTCCCCCTGCCGTATCCGCCTGCTCTCCTCTCCCATCCCTTCGCCCCTCCCCCCACCTCCCCGCCTCTGCGCCCCTTATCCTTCCTCCTCTTCCCCCTCTTTTTCGTTCCGTCCTCATCCATCTTCCGCCCTCCTCGTATCTCTTCTGCATCTCATCCTCATTCCGTCTGGTTTCACCTCCACCTCCATTTCCTCCTACCCCTCTTTCCTCCTCCCCCTCCCCCCCCCACACTCCCTCCCCCCCCCTCCCGTCACACTCCCCCTCCTCCCGTCGCCCCCCCACCTTCTCCCCTCACATTCCCCCCTTACTCCCCTAGCTCCCCTCTCTTTCCTCCTCCCCCCTTTCAGAATTCTCACCCACCTTACCTTCCTCCTTCCCCCAACATCTCACATTAACTTTGTTCCGTCCTCGATTCCCCCTCCTCTCCCTGCCTGTCACCCTTCCCCCCATTGTGTGGCAGCGACAGTAGATCGCGTCAGCGTAGGAAACAGACTATCCAAGATCTCCAATGACCTTGCTCCAAGCAATCGTCACCCTATCGCTACCAGCGGCAGGGTAGAGAGGGGGTACGCGTGGCAGAACGACATTCGACCCAAGCAATCAGGACGACCGCTCGTCGTAAGTGGAACGGATTTGGCAGTGCGAGGGCCCAATCCGTTCCACGTGCGGCATCTACTTTCAAACAGTAGCATGAAAATGCGGTGAACTATTACCGACTCTGGCGGTGCC